AACATTTTAACAGACTGTCCAGATACAATGACCCATCTGGCAGAGTATCAGTCACTCAGTCTATTGGATTTAAACCTAATCCTTCTGCCTGAAATGTCAAACTGTGCTCTATAACAAACACCAACGATATAGGTGAGGTTAGGAGTGTAACAACTAGAGCAGTGGTTCTCAACTGGTGGGTCGGGTAAGAGTAGTGGGTTGTGGAGCCATTTTCAGTGGGTTGCGAATGTGTGCCTGGAAAAAAACTTGTATCAAAAAGTCTGTGAAGTGCTTTTTAAACGTGTTGGTTTTGTTCCGTTTCGTGCTTCCGTTTCGGAAATCTGATTGGCAGAAAAATATCCGAAATTTGGGTTGTTGTTGGAGGTGGGTCCTGAGGCCAGACGAGTTGAAATTACCACTGAACTAGAGGGTAACACGATGTGTACATACTTTATTGTTCTGACAAAGTTCAAGGCTGGATTGATCTGTTTTTTTTTATAATTGAAAGCACATGAACGAGAGTGCAGGCTTGCCTGTGATACCTAGGGTCTCCAAAAGTAGGATGGGAGGCAAAGCCCTCAGTCACTTTTCTCCTGTAATACCATCTTCAGTTACACAAAAAGGTACACATATTTTGCATTGTTAGTGGGAAACGAATGGGAAGCTAACCACTAGGTAACAACTAAGTAAATTGGTAGATAGTGAGTTCTTCCTCATTACATGCTCTAAAGTAGCTAATGATGAGTTTTAGGGAAACAAATTGGAAACTAACTTGGTAACCATTAGGTAACCATTGAGTAACCACTAAGTAACACTAAGTAACCATTAGATAACCACTAAGTAATGGGTAGATAGTGGTTATCTAATGGTTACTCACTATCTACTAGATAGTGAGTTCTTCTTCATCATATGTTCTAGAGTAGCTAATTAGTTAGTGGGAATCATATGTGGAAATAACTACGAGGTAACCATTAGTTAACAGGTAGATATCGTGACATGTCTGTCACTTCATAGTACGCAACGATAAAATAAAAAATAAAAAACTCAAAACAAAAAACCTCAGAGCCAACTTTTTCTTCATTGAAAGATTTAATCCAAACACATTACATGTCAACAGAGTCGCGTTCAATTGTCCATCATAGCAGGGGGAGGCACCGCCGTTTAACAAAGGCTCTTATTGGCTGTTGTAGGCTGTTATGAGGTGTCATCAAAAGGTGAGCGGAATAGAAGAGTTTTTTTTAATCAATCTGTAGAGCTCTATGCAGAAAAAATACTATGGATCTGGCAGGACAAACTCAGAAGGAAGTCCAAGCGAAAAATTCAGCTGTTTGCGTTCACATATAGGCTACAGCTCCTCCAGGAAATATCCTGCGTTTTTCAGGAGATTTCTGCTTGTGTGAAAACGGCATTTGATGCAAATTGACAAAAGGATTCCAAATGAAGAGACGTGAATGGATCCAATTGAGCTACACTTCAGTTCGATCAGCTCCGTTTAGAACTCGTTTCTTTTGCCTTCTGACTAAACGCACTAAATCAGCTTTTAACCTCAAACAGGAGCCATGAAAGTGATTTCTTCCATCAACCCATTACATTTTATTACAACGCTGTCACTAGCTTTCATTTATCCGCCAAAAATCGAGCAATCAACGTGCGTAATTCTAAAATGCATTTGTCCACAGGCCCCACCAAACGCTAGTGGCAATACTTCTAACATACAAAAAAATCCCCACCAACAATCCTGATCCTTGGCACTATACCAGTGAAAGTTTGCACTTTGGGACCTATCCTGTTGACCAAGAGACTATCCTGTAGCTAGACTCCAACATGCCATGTTTCTATTGTGATTTATAGTCCTAAAGCTTTGATTCAGCTATAAAAAGGTAACATTTTACACATAAATACAGCAGAAATCAAGTTTATCCTGTGTAAATGTCTCTCTGAGTTATGACTGTCTACAGTGAGTGAGAAGCGGGAGTCCCGCCAACTGTGCTGTTGTCGGAGCCGTCTTTACATCATGTTTACATGGACAGGACGGCTTTGAGTATAAAGCTGTTTTAGTCAAGGACAAGAGAAAATAATAACATAGCCTACTCACTGCTTATTTGGATGTCATGTAAGCGTCTTTAGATCACGGTAATTCCATGTCAATATGAAGCTATGAGACAGCCAAACATTAGCTAACATTAGCCTGCTAACACAACAATGCAGGCCACAGGCGATTGAAGCTCGAATAAAGGACAATTATGTCTGCCACTTGCACTTCATGGTGCTTAATTATGGTGCGTTCTAATTGATAACTCCTTTGTGTGGACACAAGTGAAAAGGGGTTGGAGGTGTGCCGCTGGAGAGCGGAGGCTTCAGAATAGCGGAGGTGTCGCCAAACAGCAGTTGTTTTAGTTTAATGCTGGTGCTCAAAGGGCGACATTTACTAGATCAAAAAGTCACACTTTCTTTCTTTAACATTTCATGGATTTGTGGTGTGATACATTTTTTCACCTCGAATTTTTTTTACTAATGATTGGATTATTTTTTGATTAATTATGAAACACCTTAAACACATGCTGTTTTACTGTTTAAAAACGTACTTTGCTCCTCCTTTTTTTTTTTTTTTAATACATCTATAGCGCTTATATAATTGCTGAACTGTTTTATCCACTTTTTGGGAGTCCTTTTTCTTTAAGTGGAGAATACTATTTTTTCATCATGAACCTTCCCCCTCCTCCTGCCCATGCTTTACTGGGAACTCTTCCAGACCTGCTATTCTCCAACTGTCCATCAGCCTCCCCGAGACTGTCCTACTGATCCTGGTCACCTGAGTTCCACATCCATCTGTTCACGTTCTCAAATAAACATGAATCTAATTTTGTTATCAGCTTTAACAAGCTCACCTTTTCTTTATGAGGTTGTCACTCATAATCTACTTTTTGTTTATTATCTCACTGCACAGCTCCTACATTGCACCTTGTACATTTTGTGGGTTTTTTTAAAATATTTTATATCTTACATTTTTAAATTCTATTGTATATATTGTAATAGCTTCTTATACTGTATTATTTAAGTTGTTGCTAGTTCTGCTTTATTTCCTTGTTAATTGTTTAGCACCAATACACCAAGTCAAATTCCTTGTATGTGTAAATGTACTTGGCAATAAACCCTGATTCTGATTCTGATTCTGATTCTGATTTCCTTGACACTTCACATCAGGTTTGTTATTTAGTCTGCACTTTCATGCCCGTGACAAACCTACTATTTTAACTGTAATATGAAAAACCCATACTTCTTCATATCCAGCGTTCAAGTAACCCGTCAGGATCATTCTTCAAGATCACCCTTCATCAAGACCATTAAGATATAAAGACTTCCGATAGCACAGAATATTTAGCATGCAGCGTTTGTTCAGAGGCTGAGTCTTGACTGCAGGGGCCAAAGGTTAAATCCCAACTGACTGAGCTTTAAGTCATCCCCTCTTGCACTTTCTCTTTTTTCTGACTGGTTTCATAAAGGGAAATGGCACAAAATAGTCATAAAAATAGGGGCGCTGATGGCGCAGTGGTTAGTGCCTGCGCCCCATGTATGGAGGCTGTAGTCCTCCAAGCGGGCAGCCCAGGTTTGAATCTCACCTATGGCTCCTTTCCTGCATATCATTCCCCACTCTCTCACTCCCTGATTTCCAACTCTATCCACTGTCCTATCTCTACATTAAAGCCACAAAAACCCAAAAATAAATCTTAAAAAAAAAGATCTTAAAAAGACTCTGTAAATGTAAATAATCTGGTTGGCATGTATTTCTAAGAGATAAAAAATAGAACTAAATGAACAATATATCACATTTTATACGAAGCTAGATACATGTTGCATGTTGACAATTTTCAAAAGGTTATCTTTACAAGTACCTCATCAAGTCAAGATGGATATATGCAAATCTCTCAATTATTGGCTGCTCTTAAAGGTGGTAGACAGGGCAAATATCCCTGCTGAAACCTTACACAGTAAATAAAGAAGCAACCAACTTATTATCAAAACTTGAATTATCAGTTTCCTTTAAAACCAATGTACACTACTTTGAATAATTGATTTCAACCAGCACTCAGATCCTAGGACGCAGTCTTCGCTCTGGCTTCTAAGCATGGCGAGCATCAACAGGCTCATAGGCCTGTGACCTGACTGTCCTACTTAGTGGCGTCTGAGTCACATACTGTACAAATATATTTTTGTATTCTTTTGAATTTGTATACATTACGCACCAGACCTCCTTTATCTGATTCATTATTTTGACAATTTCTTATAAAAAATAATTCTGCTAATTAAAGAAGGTAATTTACCCACTGAAACCAGACAAGGAAACTTTATCATGCTGTTTAATTGATCAATCCTTCTGTAATGTTTCTTTGAATTTGGTCCTCATGAGACAGGGTTAACCGACTACTTTGCCCCAACCATAAGGTCTATGACGTGAGTGTATAGGATCAAGGGAGTGTTAAAAAATCCTTTGTTCTGAGTTGAACTCTCTTTCCGGAGGGATTAGAGTTGTCTTACTTCTCTCACATGTCAACAACTGCAACTGCTGTCATCAAAGTTCCGTTTGTCACCAGTCATCCCAAGTCACCCCACCTAAGCTGCTTTAAGTTTTGGTTGTCCTTTCATGCCCATCAGGGTCTACAAAATACCCTTCAAAGAGAAGCCAAAGCATTTCACACATAATAACATAAAGTTGTCATGCAAGGTCGGTCTTTGGTCAGCAAGTAATAGCTTGAAAAAATTATGTACAGTATGGTCTCCCAACTAATCTCCATTTTAACGGAGTGGACAGCTATCCACTTTAAAATAAGATTAGTCTAGTATATTGTGTAACCTAATGAGCTCTTAGTTTTAATTACAGTTCAAAGTAAGGTTCCTTCTTCCACAGTATCACTGCCAACCGGCACACCATGGATGTAATGTGATTTTGACCTAATCCGATCTGAAGTCGCTGAAGAATGGGTATAAAAGCTAAAGTAAGAGTTGAATCACCAGTCACCCAAGGAGGTTGTAAGTGACAAGAAAGGCCAAACTGCTGGGGACCTCCTTCCAAGCACAGAATGGCAGAAGAGTGGGGAAAACAGTCTTTTGAAGCCAGGAGGCACCATGAAGACACAACGAGGGGATCGTCCTTCGTTTACACAAACGTCAATCATACCAAAGGTACAGTATGATCTTTTTGTTCGTCAATGATGGGCATGTAAATCATAAAAATAGTAAAGAAAAATCCACAAAAAACTGGCAGTGACAGCAGTAGGACCTCAAACAGGAGCAAGATTGTTTTCCAACAAAGTATGATTCAAATGATTTACAACTGTATTGTTTTATTGGCTTGGAAATTAGCCTTCGAGGGTTTTAGTTATTTTGTAGTCAGTATATATTTTTCCGTGTGACATTGTATATGAGTCAAAGAATTAACTGCTGAATTGTTTTTACTAGTTATTTCACATGATCATTAAAATTGATTGTACTGTTCAGTCTATAAAAATAAATGACTTACAGAAAAATTCACAACAGCAACTTTCCTCCAAGCATTTTCTGGCGCCTGTCATTAACTAAGACCACTAACTGATTCATTTGGGAGTTTTTTAATTTTTACAATTATTGAAGGCTGAATTGATTGAGGCATAATATACGATATGAAACTTGTTTCGTTCTTCCTTTTCCCCAGATCCATTTGAGGGTCCCAATTACCACATTGCTCCACGATGGGTTTACAATCTTGCAACATTCTGGATGCTTATAGTGGTCGTCTTATCAGTTTTCACCAATGGTCTCGTCTTGGTGGCCACAGCAAAGTTCAAGAAACTCCGCCACCCTCTGAACTGGATCTTGGTCAATCTTGCAATTGCAGATCTTGGAGAGACACTTTTTGCCAGCACCATCAGTGTATCCAACCAGATTTTTGGTTACTTCATTCTCGGACACCCAATGTGCATGTTTGAGGGCTTTGTTGTCTCAACCTGTGGTAAGTGGTAATAGTTTTTCTCTATAGAAAAGGTTTTGGAGACAGTCATACAAGGTCAGGCTGTGAGTTAAACACTTTAACTGAGTATCCTGCTTTCATGTACAGGTATTACTGCTCTCTGGTCCTTGACAATCATCTCCTGGGAAAGATGGGTTGTTGTATGTAAACCTTTTGGAAATGTTAAGTTTGATGCCAAATGGGCCACAGGTGGAATTGTGTTTTCCTGGGTCTGGTCAGCAGCGTGGTGTGCATGCCCTCTCTTTGGATGGAGCAGGTAACCTGCTGTTGACGTTCTAATTTTGCAACCTTGCGTTTTATAATTACCAGCAAAAAATGTTAATCTTACAATTTCTTGCATCAGGTTCTGGCCTCATGGACTTAAGACTTCCTGTGGACCTGATGTATTCAGTGGAAGTGATGCCCCTGGAATTCAGTCCTATATGATTTCTCTTATGATTACATGCTGTATAATTCCTCTGGCTATCATTATCTTGTGCTACCTTGCTGTCTGGCTGGCTATCCGTGCCGTAAGTGATCTTAACTGCAGTTTTATACTTGACCACAGCCTGACTGCAGAATCTCACTATGTGTTGATTTCTTGATCACAGGTTGCTATGCAGCAAAAGGAATCAGAGTCAACCCAGAAAGCTGAGCGAGAAGTATCCAGGATGGTTGTGGTCATGATCTTTGCATACTGTTTCTGTTGGGGACCTTACACCTTCATGGCCTGCTATGCTGCGGCTAACCCTGGATATGCTTTCCATCCTCTGGCTGCATCCTTGCCTGCATATTTTGCCAAGAGCGCCACCATCTACAACCCAGTTATCTATGTCTTTATGAACCGACAGGTGGGTGAAAATATCACATTTTAAGGTTGAACAAATTTCAATGTCTGTTCGGTTGTTCTTAGTTTATTTTTGAGATAAATTATTTTTCTGCCCCTTTCAGTTCCGTGAATGCATCATGAAGCTCTTTGGCAAAGAAGTGGATGAAGGCTCTGAAGTGTCCACATCAAAGACAGAGGTCTCCTCTGTGGCTCCTGCATAAACCTCCATGTTCTCCCTTTTGGAAAAAGCTGAGAGCCAATGTAATTTGTACAGTAAATATTTATTGCATCTATTTTCTTTATATCCATTTTTTAGCAAAATGGTAGATTTCTTGCAAATACAAAAAAAACAAAAAAACAAAACACAAAGTAAATAAATGCAAAGTATTGAAAAACGTTTCTGTATCCCACTTATTGAGTGATGAACACTGTTGATCCAAAATAACATACATTGTAGAATTTGTCATTCAAAAGTGATGCTTTTGTACTGTAGGCTCTATAGTTACAAACCCTGTCCCAGAAGACAGGTTAGGAGCTCAACCAGTGTTTTGAGTGCCAAACTACATCAGGTGGGCAATGTAGCTGTTTTGGTGAAACACCATTGTATTGGGGATTTGAAAGCATTCAAATTTTAGCAACAATATCAAAAAGCAACACATAAGCCTGTTCTGTACAAGAAACTTGATCATTCTTTGATTGATTTACTGCAAAAAAAAAAGTTTGACTACTAACTTTTATTACATTCCCTCCAAAATACCATCCTATACCAAAGGGGCTGAACTTGAAACGTTTTTTTTCTTTTTATAGTTTTAGATATTCTATGTATTCATTCTTCTATGAACAGATATGAACTTTGATGAAATTAGGGAAGAATGAAAGAGGGACAGAGGGAAAGAGCTAACGTTACAGTAGCTAGCTTACAGCCCACTGCTTTATTTATGCTACTTTGAGGGACACATTACTCCTCCATGGTCTACTGATCTGTGTGGCACTATACCATCTATACAGAATCAAAGCGAACAACAGTTGTAATAACTTTGGTCACATACCTGATGTCTGCCTCTGAGTAACTCATCATCAAACTGACGAGTATCTCTGCATGTGGGTATGTGCACATACGCATTGGCGTGTGTGCATAGCAGCTGCAGCAAAGAGGAGTAAGAAGAAGGCATTGTGCTGCTGTGAATAATACTTTCCGAGCTGATATTCTTATTTTACAAAAAATATCATCTTGCAGGCTAGGCTGTACGCAAACACTAAATTATCGATTAAAAATGTCACTTTCTCTATCGATGGAAAAGCAGCAGGTAAATAGTAAATGGCCTTAAGCTTCTATAGCGCTTTTCTAGTCTTCAGACTACTTAAAGGCCTTTTAAACTGCTGGTCACACCTACCCATTCACACACTCGGGATTGAACCCCAACCTTCAACATCAAGCCCCCTTTTTTTTTGGCTATTTTGATGTGCCTGATGAGTGATATTTATCAAAATGTTTTGACCAATATTTTGACTGTTGTATACACAAGTTTTGTGCATTTAAATTTCTTAATAAATCCGAAGACATGGATTGTCCATTGACTATGGAATGGTCAAAAGTCCCAATCTCCAGATGGCCACATCACCCATGCACACAGGGTAGTAAATAATACCTGGGTGGACTAAGCTCAGTTTGGGCAGCAGCAGCTCAGTCTGGGACCGGAGGGTCATTAGTTCAAGTATCGGTACAGACTAAAGTCTGGTTCCTTACTGCCCTTGAGATGGCCACTGCAAACCCCACAGCTCAGGGGAGCTCCCTGTTAGCAGCCACACTCTGACATCTCTCCAATAATGCATGTTCATAGGTCGTGCTTGTGTGCATGTGTGCATATCTGGCATGTGTGTGAGTGGCATGTCTCTGAATAACAGAGTTAGTCTCTAAATATTTCAAGTATATTTAAAAAAAGAATCCTAGGTTTGCATGTGCATATTTAGTCAGAGAATCTTTTCTCTACAGTCATTACATTTGCAATAAAAAAATGAAGACCTAGTCACCAAAAATGGAAGGTACTTTACAGAATATGCCTTTTACTCTCACCAATGTAATGACACACATTGACCCCGAGATATCAATATTTTTCATTTGATCTATATGTTGTTTACATTGAAAAAAACCCACAATTTCCTCCAAACCCTATTTGAATGATGACAGTCTTCAAACCTGACTGATTAAAAGTTTTTGATTTGAAGTTTTTTTCTTCATTTACGTTCCTCGTTGAGTTCTGGGTAGTTTATTGACACTGTTCTGCAGGTTATTTCAGAGTTTTTTTGTAGGAGCTACCAGCTCTCCCCTTTTCTGTGTAACACTGATTATTGACACTTATTGATACCGATTATTACATCAATGAATCAAATGAAAAATACTTTTGCTTCAGCAATGGTGAATGTGCAAAAGAGAAAATATAAAATCAAATTTAAGAGATAGTCCGGTGCCACACAGTCATGAGCTGACACTGAGTTTCAGAGAACAGTAGTGCACATGTTTCTTGTTGTTTCACTGCAAATCTGCATTGACAATTTATCAAAATATATATGAAAATAACAACAGTAATGGTTAAAACCTAAAGTTAGACTCTGAGGGCGCATTATACAAAGCATTGTATAACAGTAAGCAGTCAGTGTTAACAAAAATGTAGGAAAAAAATTACATTTTTACTCTGTTGACTGATAATTAAAGGTCTTGCGTGACCTGTGACCTTTTGAAGATATGCAATATAGTTTTGATGTCACAGTAAACAGTTGTGTCATTTAAGTTACAGTGTCAGAGAATGTTAAAACTTTTATGGAGAAAAAAGGCAAAACGAGTGAGAAAAATTAAGTTACTGTGTAAACCATTGTTTTGAGAAAGTGTAGTGTGACATCTAGTGGTTGAATGTTGCCTATAACATCCTTTATTAAAAGCAAATGAGAAAAATGGGAACTGTAAAGTCTATTATTAGTTTAATTTCTTGAAATGAAAACGCGTGTGCAAGTTAACAAAACATGCATGTATTTTATAAATAAATCTAAAGCCTGCAAGCATTAAACTAAAGGCCTAACAATCAATATTTATTTGAGGTTTATTTATGAGGTCCAATTTCTAACAATGAATACACTTAATTCACTTTACAAAAAGAGCAGGTTTAGACTGTACTCTTTGTTATATTATTTACAGACCCAACATTATCCACCATCAGCACAACACTAAGCAATATTTAGCAAAGTTTAGTGGCAAGGAAAAGTGCCTTTTAGAGGCAGAAACATTGAGCAGAACCAGACTCATGTTTAACAGTCTTCAGCCAAAACTGTCTATCCCAATCACCTCCCAGGTAGAAACCAATGCTAGCCAGCCAGAGGTAAATCACAAACCTTAAACCTTTGCATGCAAAACAAACTAGCTAGCACAGCAATATTAGAAATGGAATCAATCCTGAATCTAAAATTATTCAACTGTTTAAAACACATACATGCATCTAGAATGGGTATTCAATTAGAATTTAACAGAGGTAGGGGGTAGCGCTAAGTACTAGAGTCCCATGTACGGAGGCTATAGCTAAAGCGGGCAGCCTGGGTTTGTGGCTCTTAACAATCTGGACGTGAGCGAAGGATAAACTGAAATCTCACACCAGGTCTCACCAAAAACTAAACATCTGTTGCACAAGCTTTTGAGTTTCTGCAGTCAGCATACAATGTTGTCCAGTCTGGTCTGAGGAAACTGAAGTTGGTCCTAAACTATGATAAAAACAAAGCTCACCAACAAATGTCCAATGGATTTTAATTCCCCAAGGAAATCAAATTGAGCTTGTCAAAAACTACAAGTACTTGGGTTTTCTTATTGACTGTGAGCTGTTTTTTAAAGCACATATCGTCAAATTGGACTCTAAAGTCAAGGTGAAGTTCTCCACACTTTTACTGCATGAACCCTGGCTGAGTGTGTGTGTGTAACAGCTGACCATTTATCGGCATGCCCAGAGATTTAAATAATCACTTTAGTTCGCTGCTGTGCCACATGCGTAATTGCGCACAGCAGACGCATTTAGGCCAGGCTACATGCGACATAATAACATTTGAAATAAGTAATAGACATTACACTACGTTTGGCTGTCTTAACCCCAAGTTACTCTTCTTACTCTTCTCCCTTTACACCAATGACTGTACCTCAGGGGACCCTTCTGTGAAACTCCTGAAATTTGCAGACGACACCAGTCTGCTCAGACGTCTGCTTACAGACGGGAGGTGAAACAACTGGTTCTCTGGTGCAGTCAGAACCATCTGCAGCTCTGCTCTTTTTTTAGAGTGCTTGCTGTACATACTTCTATTTCTTAATTATATTTCCCATGGGGGCTCTAGCAAGCATCTGCTTCTCTTGTTTTGTTTTGCATTGTGGTACTTCTGGGATAGCTCCTTAACCACAGATTTATGAAGCAGCATTTTTCTGAGTGAGCTGGAAAGGACAGGATGTTTTGATAACTGGCTAAAATGTATGCAAGGTTACTGAGTTTGTCCCATATTTTTCTTGGCTCTTTGCCACTATCTTTTTGTATCTCTATTTTTACTCTTTTTTTTCACCAGGGCAGCTTTGAGAAGTTTTATTTCTCTTTTCAACCTTTTTTCTGTTTATTTTGAAGGCATTGACCGTGTTGTTTTTCTCTAGAACTCAATAAACACAAATGATCTCTACATTTTACGAACACTAGCATGAGCATCATACTGACTTCCATCATCCATAAACCTGACTAACCCCTTTACCGTTATTCTAATCTGAACCTTATCCTGACATATGACTGTACATTTGACTTACTTCCTTTGTAAGAACAGAGAGATGTTGAACATCCTAAACTCTGTTATAAACACACAAAAAGCACAAGTTACATAGTAGTACAGGTATGGAAAAATCTTATATAAAAATGAATCCCTTTAGTTCAAGGGAATGAGGACTCATAGGGAGAGTTTAGCCACTAGGTCCCTTCTCACTCCCCCTTCCTGTTAAGCTGGAGAGGGACAGGTACAGTATTGACCACTAGATTTAAACTTGATATATATTGGTAGTTGTCTTGTTCCTCTTGTAAACATGTTTTATGTCAATATGCTTTGAATTTGTATGTGCAATTGTTGATGCACTATGAAAAATTACTTTCCTCACTGTGCGCACCTTGATATATTGTGTTTGCACATTAAGGTTTCCATTTGAGGCTGTTTATTGTGATGATTGGTCATGTGACCACTTGCATTTAACGCACCTGTGTAATGTATGCCCTGTGATTGTGCTGGGCGAACCTGAAGAAGCTACAGGTGAGACGCGTTGTTCTCGCACAGTAAAAGGTATTTTCAGTGTGCCACGGACTTCTGATTGTTTTTTCATGATTTGATCCTGCAACCG